AGATAAATCTGGTTCATAGCATTCACATCTCTTGCACAGAATGTCAGAAACTTTTATGCTTTTTTTTCCAAACTTTTTTCTTTTGCTTGTTTTTTTGAACTCTGTGCAGTTCAATTCAGCTCTGATTTTTTTTTTTAGTTCAAGATAAACCAACATGTTTTCATAGTATCAAATACATACTTGAACTCTGTATATTTTATCCTTATGGAATATATTTATTGCCAGATACCGATTAATCTGCTTTTCAGTCAGATAATGCACATAATGGGATGTGTTTAGATCATCCTCCCAGCTATGTAGCTGTATCATTACCCTCAGTAAAGTTGTGGGTTGTTTTTTACAGGAAATAGTATAGTCCAGTTGAATTGCATATTATTCAATGTTCTTTATGGGATGTATTTACAGCTTTTTCTTTTTTCTCCTCCCACACCAGTTTGCATTTAGCACACACGGAGTTTTCGGAGCAGGCAACAGATTACATTAATTTCAAATTAATTGTAATACTACCACAATAATGGAATGATTTCTTAACATTAACTTTTATTAAACTACTCACACAGTTACTAGCTTTGATAACTTCCTGAAATAATATGTTTGTTTAATCTTTTCATTTAAGAGGAAGTTGTGACTAAAATGAATTACGCAGCTGAAATACATGTTACTAACAAAACCTCTGGGGCACATTTTCACTTTTGTTTATAGCACTCTTGGAAGAAGAGAGAAAAGCATATCGAGTGCAAGTCGAAGAATCTAACAAGCAAATAAATGCTCTGCAAGGTAGGAATTTATTTTTTCTCCCCCCACCCTTCAGGGAAAATATATAGCTTTGACTTTCTGTGGCATCATAATTACTAATAAAGGAAAATGTTAATTGAGTGTATGTTTTAAATCTGATTTCTTTCACTATATCTTTGAATTTTATTGTGAAATGTTTCCTGTCAGTTCCTATGGTTCTAATAGTAACTTAGAAAATGCAGAAGATGTAATCTGTAATAGATACCTCTTCATTTCTCTTCAGTCTTCCTCAGTTCTGAATTATGTAGGGCTTCTTACTGTGATGACCTTCAGAGCACTGAGGAGGTTTAGTCTTCAGAATGAGAGGAGCAATTTAATTTTGAATATTATCCTGCTAGTAATGAAAACTCTCCAAGTAACAAATGCTGTAACAAAAGTTAGAAAATAGAATTTGATAGTTATTTTGATGCAGAAAAAATAAATCTTTTTTTTCCTCTCCAAAAAGAGAATCAGAGATAGGACCTTGACAGAGCCAAACTTAACTGCAAAATGCCTCTTGTTGGTTCAGTACTTTTTTGTTTTCTGATCCTTCTCAAGTGAGGTCTTGCTAATGTTTCCTCCTCTTCTCTCTCCATTGTAGTTCAGACTGTTCTGATGTTCATTGTGTCCTTGCTGCTTCCCAAACATTTAGGGTGTGACACATCTCGCAATTTCGAAAAAGTTGTCAGGATTCTTCCTTGGCAACTGCTGTGAACTGTAGGGAGGGGAAAAAAAAACCTGGCAGCTTCATGCAGTAACATTTCTTGAAGTATTTTCATGGAATCAGTGTTTTAGCCCAGCCAGTGCTGCATGGCTTTTTTATGTTTGTCGTGGAGAAGAGAAAGGGCCACAGAAACAACTGAGATTGTGTCTCTACATGTGAAGTTCGTTATATGAACAGATAGGTAGAGCAAGGAAATTCAAGTAACTTGTTATGCCTTATTTAAAAATATAAAAGAAGTGAAACATTCAATTTAGATGAGGTAATGGCTTATATAAATGAGAGATGTAATGGAAGTTTTCCTTCTAATTGTCCTTTCAAATTATACCCAGTGCTTCAGAAACCATTCCAAGATTCTTAGTAGTAATTTTCATGTGTAAGTTATTTCTACAACTCCACCAAGCTTTAGAAATTCTTGTGCATCTTTGGATTTTCCATCATACTTTACTTGTTTTCACGCCTGAACATTTAAAGGGACAGTTATTCATCAGCAACACAGATGGAAGAGAACACATTTCTTTGAAATGCTGCCAATACCAAGAAGCAGTTTAGCTTGGCTTGATAAAGAAAATAGTATCAAGAAGATATAATTTGCATTCCTTTGCTCAGGAACCTGCTTTATTAGCAAGTCGTGTTTTAGAGGATATTACTTAGGTAGGCTCAGGGCTTCCAAGGCTACATGGAAAGGCAACTGTTGATACACCAGATGTTGTGTTACTGTCAGGTTGTTCTCATCCACTACTCTGTTTGCTATTCTGTTACAGTACAAGCCTGTAGAAACTATTTTCAAACAGACGAGGTGGTAGTAAGCCTCATGTTGCACACGTATTTTTAAAAATCCATCATGCTGCAAGTGTTATGGAAGAGGTGGACTGTTTCATCTCATACAGAATTGCTGTGGAATCTTAACTTACTCTTGTCTATAGCAGCTCTTATGTATTGCAAAGTACAATAGCTATCATATTTTTCCCATGGTGTCTTTTTCTCCGAAGTGGGGAATTGGGTAATTCTTGGGTGCTTTAGTTTCTCTAATGAGCTAAATGTCTTGCTTCAGTTTAGAGGAGAGCAAAAAACCTGAGTTTTTCTTCTTTGCTGTACATCAACTAGCAGCAAAGTTTCTAGATTGTATATGAATTCTTTCTGTATTACTATGTAGCTACTGAAAAATATCAAGTATAATTGTCATGAAGGTGCTGGTGTCTCTTGAGTAGCTTTGATGCTGTATCAGTTTACAGCTAGACTCACTCACATTCTCCCTGTCACTTCTGAAATGGATTGAGAGGACAGAAATAAATACAAGTAATCTAGGAGGGTTACTCAGTCTTGTTATCCACCCTGTAGTGGATAACAGTTTCCACTATCCTCATTTGGCCCTTTGCTTCTGAAACATGTAACTTTAAATGTGTGATCCTGACCCTCCACAGTATCTTACATTAGGTTTTCAGGTCCTGTGAAGAATTTTACCTTTTCTTCTCAGAGTAATTCTTTATTAATTTAATAATTGCTTTTTTGCATGTTAAAATCAATGAAATACATGTGAACTCTGATACGTGTTCTTTAAAAAGTAAAACAAAACCACAGCAAATTAAACACTTTGCTCCCATCAGTCAGGGTTTTAACTGTAGTTTTTCCTCTGTACTGTACTTTTTTGTCTGACTGTTTGCACTGGATTCTGTTTGCATGTGTGTTTATGAAAAATCGTTGTGCTCAGAGATGTCTTTGGTAATGAAACAGTTTTGAGTGGGAATAACCTATAAGGTTTTCTTCATGCAGAAATGTCACATAGCCTACTGTGTGCGTGCCTGCTGCACATTTACAGTAGCTGTAAATGCTAAAGGACCTTCTAGCTCAGTATATTTGGAGCAGCTGTCCCTTTCATTCAGAATTCATCTTGTGCTTTGAAAAAGGCTTTTTGCAAAGAAATAATGTTTACTTCCTCTGCTACATGTTAAGCATGGAGTCAAAATTTAGACCCTGTGCCTCAAATTTTTATGGACATCACAAGTTAACTGCTGAACAGGCGAACATTTCCAGTGTAGCTTTGCAACTGTTTGTCTTGTCAGAGAAGCCTTCTTCCTTTTCCTCTTGTTCCTGAAAGCCCCAATGTCCTTGTTCTATAATCCTTGTTTTGCTTACAATGAAGTTGGATCTAAATCTTGCTTCAGATTTTGGAGAGTTGCTTTAGTATCACATGCACAACACAGCTTTGTCTAAGAAAGCTTTGTTCAGACATCATTTTTGTTTCTTTTGACTCTGTGCTACATGGCCCACGTACATGTCTCTGTCAGTACAGCATTTGACAAGATTAATATATTTTTTCAATTGCATTGGGCTTCTTTAGTCCTGTTAAATATTGACAAGCTGAGAAAGGGAGTTATGTTTTTTAGATTTTCTCTAAATACGGTTTTAAAAAATACAAATGTTAATGTCGCTTTCCAGCCCAGTTGCGAAGGTTACAAGAAGAAATTGAGAATCTTCGTAAGGAAAAGGAGCACGAGATTTCAAGCACTCGAAACGAACTAGTCAGTGCTCAAAATGAGATTCTGTCACTTCAGCAAGTAGCAGAAAAGGCAGCATCAGAACGGGACACAGATATTTCCACTTTGCAAGCAGAGCTGCAGACGGTGCGAGCGGAGCTTGAGCGGTGGCGGAAGGATGCCTCGGATTATGAAAAAGAAATTGTCGACCTGCAAGCCAGTTTTCAGCTCAGGTGCCAGCAGTGTGAGGATCAGCAGAAGGAAGAGGCCACTCGCTTAAAAGGTACTCCTTTGAAGGGATGTCACAGCCCAGTGCTAACACAGCATCCTTCTCACTCTGGGGAATGGCAGTTACTCAAATCTCTGTTGCTCTGTCCCTTTGCAGTCATTTACTCTGTCTATATATATATTTATACACAAATATGTATATTTATGTATGTGTGCCAAGGCTTGTAGTGTTACAAAAGCTGTTTTGCATGCTTCATTAAATAGTAATTGTCTAAATTAGCTCATGTACTTTGATATCAGGACCAACTGTAATTCCACTCTGAAAAGATGGAAAACTTCTACAGTTGAGGGACTCATACCGCCACAGATTTCCAAGAGGATTTGTGTAACTTCTGTAATTTAAGCCCATAAAGGGAGAGCTTCAGACTTTTTAATTCTGGCAAAGCTTTACTCAAGACAATTAACTGTATTTTATGGCTTAATGAAACTGTTGATACCATCTCATTTTTAACATAAAAAAATGTTAAATTTAAAATTTATTAGCTTGTGCTACTCAATGCAGTCATGAAATACTTTTACTCAATTGAATTGAGTTTTATTTATTGCAGGTGAACTTGAAAAGCTGAAGGCAGAGTGGCTTGCTCTGGAAGCTGAATGTGTTAAACTAAGGAAGGAAAATACTTTGCTTACATCTGAACTTCAGCGACAAGAGAAGGAGCTCTCTAGGTAAGGGCACCGTGGGTTTGTCTAGGAGGTACCATAGTAGCTGAAGAGTTTTGTTGGTGCTCTTTCCTCACAAGAGAGGTACTACATGTCTGAGGGTGTTTCAATAAATGCATTGAGATTTTATTTATATCAGAGTATTGGGCTGAACACTTCCGTGTCAGTTGTTATCCCAAGTTATGTTTTTCTGTTTTACAAATGCTTTTGTCATGTTTTATCATCATAAGGTAACCCAACTTTGCTGCTTTTAATAAGGGCTTGGAAGCATGCATTGTGGAAGAATTTAGACTTAACAGTTATCCTTCCAATTAAAAGATAATAAACTACATGGATTTCCTAACCTCAAATTTTCTTAGTGTTCAGGGTGGAAAATGATTCTCAAACAGCTGGGTGTCTCGTGATAGCCTGTCACAGTATAAATAGTAATAGTGGGCAGAAACCATGTTCTAGATCACCTTTTCCTTAAGAGAAAAATATAAATCTTTTTTTATCACAGGTGGCATCATATCCTTTGGGAGGGGTTTTAGAGTGCAGGAGAATTTATATTGTGCTGTATTTCTTTTGCTGTTTGAGAACATGACATTGCTCAAGGCCATCTAAATCTTCTGCTTGGAAACAACTTCCCCTCTTATCCCTTCATCTGCCTTTTTTGGTTTTTTTTTTCAGTTTTAGATACTGGAATATAATTCACAGACTAAATATGGGACAGCAACTTTGTTTTATTGTGGATCTGAATTTTACCATCATGCTTAGATATATGTGTGGTCTCTTTTCCCTTGTGGCTTCCTCAGTGTTGTAAGATCTAATTGAAAATTGAAAATGTCTCACAGTAAACATTCAAGAAGTAATGTATTCTTTTTCAGTATTCAAACCTTTCTTTTTTGGTTCATTATACCCTCATTTCTGTTTTTTGCATACACAAGGTCAGATGAGAAATGACAGGATTTGCATAATAGAAATATGCAGGATCTCTTCCTTATTTTTTTTCTTGCACAGGCATGAATTAACACTACTTGGCTATTACACTGATGTTTAATGGCCTAATTTTGAGCTCTCTGATTATTACCCAATTGCACTAAACAGTTGAACATACTAGCTATTAGCTTATGCAAGGGCAGTAAGCAGAAGCACATGTGCAAACAAGTGAAATGCTTTGAACAACCTTGAACAGACTTCTTATTACAAATTTGTTTCAAAATACTTTGGAGTATATAATAGCAAATACTTTGAGTAATGAAATAGAATAAGAAAATAAAAATTAGTCATAACTTATTTAAATTAAAAATTATGGTTAGTTATACACACTAAACTGTGGACGTATATTTTAAAGCAAGATCATGGCCAGCCTTTTGTGTCAGTACTGCGTACAAAGAGACAAAGATCTGTACTTCTGTTACTGCTCTAAGCTGATATTTACACATCAAAAATAACATGTGAAGCTTTTGAGGATGAAAAGTGCTTGTTTAAGATGCCTAAGGAATCAATATGATTTTGTTTTGCAGCTCTCAGAAACAGAGTTTAGCACTGACCAGCGATATAAGTGTTCTTGAAATGTCTCGAAAGGAACTTGAAAATCAGATGGGATCTTTGAGAGAAAAACATCAACGGGATGCAGCTAGTCTGAAAACTCAGCTCAGTGAAGCTGAGAGTCAAGCAAAAGACGTTCAGAAAGAGGTAACACAAAATACTGTTTCCATTTTGAGGGAATGTAGTGCCCCATGACTGACTTTTCAGCTAAAAGAAAAGGAAAGGTTTTCTAGAACTATAAAGATTTCTAGTAATGAAATTTTTTCATAATTTTATTGCAAGCACTTAATGGTAGCCAAGAAAATATAAACTGGCAGTTAGATTTAAAAAGGAAGATTTCAGGTAAAATTACTTCTGTGTTCATTGGGACCTTCCTAAGCTTTACTTTGATGCATTATCCTAGTGAATTTACTTTTAAGCTGTTCAGATGGGTAAATTCTTGTTCAGAGTCTTCTGAACATCATGGTCTAGAGTTTTATTAGCTGTTATGAGTCAAAATTGATTCTTTTTGAGTCAGTCTGATCTTTCTAGTTATATGAGTGGAACTATACATTCTTTACAAAGATCTCCTTTCATCTTCCTGGATCATTGGCCTGCTGAAGATGACTTGCAAGTGCATAAGGGTCAGCATTTTGAGCATGTGTTTCATCTGCCTGGCATCTAAGGATTGTCTGGAAGAAGGACATATTTTCCAACACTTGCTTCCTCTTAGAAGCATTTTGAGTGTTTCTCCAATCACTGCTCTTAGTTTCTTTTACAGTACTTTTCTTTGATAATTCATCCGTGTCACATTCCTTACAATTTTCAGAATTTCAAAAACCCAATCCTGTTGGTCTGTGTTTTTGTAATCAGATGTATTTGTAAAGATGCCTAATCTTCTAAATTTGTGGTAAATGCCAGTACTGAAAGTCATTGATTCTGTCCCTGTCAGGAGGACTACTAGAAAGTTTGTGATCTCTAGAAAAAATGGAATGTGAGTTTGAAAAAGGAAAGTCTGTCCATCCTGTAGGAACATGTGTCACATTCACCCAGTACTGTTTGTAATTGACCCACACTGAGGATTATGGCACGACAGTACAAGGCATAATAATTTTTAATGCCTGCTTTATGTTTGAATTTGCATTGTGGGAAGAGGTTTTGATTTACTTCATACAGAATGCTGATTTTTGCACCTATTTGCTGGGTGTAGGGATTTCAGCTGCAGCCTAGATGTAAGACAACTATTCAAACGTGAAGGACTCCTTGTTCCCCTGTTTTTTGTTTTATCTTCCTGGTTTTTACAGTCCTTTTCAGTATGATAATGAATAATTGGTATAAGACACGAATTAAGGCCTTGCATTTACTTTGTATTTCCTTGATTTTAGTAATTCTAGCACTTCAAGTCAGGCAAAAATCTTCATTTAGGTAAAAAAAAGGAAATCTTAACTCTACACTGCTTCTGTGAAAAAGGAGTGTACTGATCCAAGGCAAGTTATTCCAGGCAGATGACAGAAAAGGAAGCTGTGCACTGAGCAAATGTCAGCATGTGTTGGGTGTCCAGGGGTCCACAGACTGTTCTCTCTTTGTCTTTAGTATGAAAGAACACAGACTGTGCTCTCAGAGCTGAAGGCAAAGTATGAGGTGGCTGAGCAGGAGAAGCAGTCACTCACAGAAGAGCTCAAACAGTGTAAAGAGAACCTGAAGCTGCTACAAGAAAAAGGAAACAACGTAAGTCTGTACAAAATGTGTGGGGAAGTCAGATTATGACACTGACAGTCCTGTTGATTGAAGGAATATGGAAGAGTCAAATAGAAAAGGATGGACTTTAAAAAAAAAAAAGGCTGTGTACTCTATTTTATATATATATATATTTATATATGCAAAATTCCATTCTGGTTCTAACTGTGCAAATTTGCAGGTCATTACACTGTTACAGTTACACACGAAAGTTCAATTTACAGTCGTGTGACAGGTTTAGGTATGTCCTTAGATATTTGCTCTCTTGAAAACATATGACTTAAATGCTAGTGAACCAGAACTAAGGAAAACTCTTTGACTTCAAAAAATGATACAGGGCTAAAAGCTTAGAAACCTGTATCCAAATGAATTAAGCAACCTTTTTCAAGATGCTTTTTGTTTTCTTAGTGTTTATTACAATGGGTGTTCCCTTCTTACTCTTGCTCATTCTTCTTAACTGGTTATTCTTGATGGGCTCATGCTTTAAACAGTACAGTAGAACTGTCCTTTCTATTCAGTAATGAAAATACTGTTTTCTATTGCAATTAATTTGAGAGGTTGTGTCATTAGAACTGAGTTTACAGCTAGAGACAACTTTTTTTTTATACTGAGATTCTGAAATCCTCCAAACATTAGGGGTGTGGCAAATACTTTATAAGGGGGGGTCATGGCCTTATCTTTAGGTGCCCAGGGAGGGCTGGTTTCTTGTCTTCCTTTGCTGCCTCTGTGGTCACTGCAGGGTGAACAACTCCTGTAGTGGACAGTACAAAACAGGAGAATAATGAATGCTCTGTAATAGCCTTTTAGAAAACTGTTTTTTTCACTACAAAGAAATTTTACAGTACCCTATCCTCTAAAATCAGCTGACTCCTAGATGCCCAGAAGTTTGTACGAATACCCTTGCCATAATCAATTCCTCAATATAAACCTCTAACATCGCAGAGCTGTCAAAGATGTAAAGAATTCAAAGCCCTTCTCACTTCTTTCAGCCATATTTTCAGAAATGTGATTTTATAATGTTATAATTCTCTTGGAACCTGATTCTTGCTCAGAACTCTTCTGCAGTGCTCGGATAATACTGAGTTACTTAAGTAGGCAGAAGTCAAAAACAGCCAGCAAAAAACCCCACCCCATTTTAGTAGAAGAGAACACACTGACTAAATAATAGTGAATGTGAGATTTTCTGCTCTGTTAAAAAAATTAACCTCAGAATTAAAATGATCAGTGGAAAAGGGTGATAGTAGAGGGAAGACATACTGTGAAGGGAGTTGTCACATCTGATGAGAGTGGAAACACTTGTAAGGTAAAGGAAATTTTAGGAAGAATTAGAGGTAAGTAAATGAAATCAGGAATCACAGCAGTTGCCAAAATCTGCTTCCAGAGGAGGAATTAGTTATGACAGTTGAATCCTGGAGGTCAGGGTATGATGAAGAGCATCCAGCCATATAAGGGCTTGCAGGACAAACTCGCTGTTGAGCAAACATTGCTCCCCGTCAGTAATGTAAAACATGTCCATCTTGGGGATTATTTCAAACATTGTGGATACTGGGCTGAGTTCCAAGGTCAAATTTTTGAAGTACCATTGTCCCCTTTTGCTGGAATCATTATCTGCTACTTCATTTCCAAGGAACAGAAAGTGGATTCCCACTGTGGGATTTGTTCCTTTTTGCAGCCCATCTGTGTCTGAGTTTGCATATCTTCATATTCTAATAAAAGATGCACATTTTTTTTAAAGCACCTAGTTAAGTGCTCCTTGACAATAAGAAGATTTGTTATATATTGATAAGTTTTTGAGGGGAAAAATTTAATTGTTTGGAGACAATTCCATTGGATGCAGTGGATATTTATCACCGGTTTCATTTGCCAAGATGTGTAACTTACCAAAAAAATAAATCCATAGACTTGTTCAGTGAACTAACAAATGTTAGAAAAGACAAGGCTTCTGTACTCCATTTGGGATATCATTTAAATTTAAAGTTTTTATACTTCAGTTTTACTTTTAAAAAACTTGCAGTGTTGTGTTCTTGACACGCTTAGCAGTGTGGTGTACTACTCGTGCTTGCATGCTTATGGTCACTGGTTTTTTCCTGATGCGCTTCATACGACGGATTTAATGATGTTAATGGTTTGAGAACATCAGCTGCTCTGGTTGATTTAAACTTCTGGCACTTTTGTGAACACTGCTGTGATTATTTCTGCCAACGTGCTTTCTGTGGGAAGGTGGCACTGTGATTTGTGGCACCAGTGACACAAAAATAATCCTGCATGAAAATTACTTCAATAGTTACACATAATTTTTCTGTTAAATATTTGCCTTGATTGAAAAAGAAAGTGATTGAATGGCAGAGACTAGAATGCCTTCTAATATTCCTGTATTTTGAACCATATTGGAGGTTCTATGATTAAGTGACTTCTGCAAATTCATAACAGGATGAGATTTGATTTATGAATCACAATGTTTTAGAAAATTCAATCATGAACTTATTATTTGTTTATTTATTTGACTGAACAAAAATCAAGGTAGCTTCAGCACAAAAAAAAGTTTTAAAAATATTTGGCATGGTTTGAACTTACCCCTGTGTGTCTTTGTGTGTGCACAAATATGTAGGCTAGGATACAGAGAAAGCAGATGTCTTCCAAGGACAGCTTAAAAAAAGTTTAGGTCCATTTTTGCTTTTAATTTATCATATCATGGATAGAGGCTGTCCATCCAGAAGGTGCAGTAGTTTACAGCTAATTGAACATAGCTGAGAAAACGTGTGGGTGGTTCTAACGAGGCCATAAGCTGAAGGAACCCTGCAGGCTGGTCAGCTGGAGTTTGGCCCAGCTGCAGCATTTGATCCATTTTCAGAATTGCATTTGGTCACAAGGCTGCTGACCTGGCAGAGATGCTGAGCTTTGTGGTATCTCTGATGGAAATGTGCTTCTCTGCTTTATAGTAACCGAGTGTTGATTGTACAGTCATGTTACAATCTCACGGAAATGTCTGAACGACTGAGTTTGCCTGTGGACATAGTTAATTGACTCACTAATGGAGGAAAAAGATTGTTTTTCCTGGAGGCTGGTGATGGAAAATGGGAAAGGCTAACTAGCAAGGAATGAAGAAATACCTGAAAAATTCAAAATCTGGTGTGAGTCTATCTACCTCAAGAAATCCAGTTGGGATTTCCTCTCACTTAGAAAAACTAAAACCAACTATAAATAAGATACAGGCAAATCAGTTTAAGATTTGTATTGTTTTCAAGTGCTAAATTCCAAGTTGTGACAAGAGGTTTCTTGGAACATTTTCTGCTTACTTCCCTTTATTTTTAAACATCCCTGTTCATTTGAGTAGAATGGTGTACTAACTTTGTATACCAGATTAGATAATGCTGTAATGTGTTAGATGTCTTTAATACATTTCAATTAAAACCAAACTTACTGACTTATTTCCCCCCCCCTCTAAATCATCTTTACCTGATTGATTTTATAGCACAAAGTGATTTTTAATATCCCTTCCCTTCTTTAGCCTTCCATATTACAACCCGTCCCAGCCGTATTCATCGGCCTAATCCTGGCTTTCCTGTATTGGTGTTACGGCCCATTGTGGTAGCGAAAGGTACAAGCACTACTGTTCAGTCAATGTATGTTTGTCCCTCTCACCTGTTTGTGCCATTTCTGTATGAAATTCTGCATGGTTCAAATGCTCACAGGTATTTCTTTACCTGAAGCAAACCCTTCATTTAATATGCCATTCTGTTGATACCGATGAGCTGAGCGATCAACTAATCATTTAACATCTCTGTGATTTCTTTAATTCTAACAATTAATTTCATCCTAACTGGTTCTGAATGTGCCTCTTCTAACTCGGTCTCAGTTTGTCTTTAGCAAATGGGCTGCCTTTTGCACAATGCTGTGATGCTAGGGCTTGTAAGAAAACTTAATTGCTTGATTAACTATGGAAAATGAAGAGTTTGCCTCTAATAATAAAAATCAACAAGCTTTGGTTCCTATCTATGGACTAAGAAATTCCACTCTGGCTCTAAACACTTTAATTTCTCTCACTATTGCTGATGGAAAGATGGAAAAAAAGATGAGAAATAGGTGGTTGGTTTGTATTCTGAACTCTCAGCTTGCATTTTCTCTAATGTCTCTCAGTGTGTCCTCCTCTTGAAATGCCATTGTTGTCATGCAATGTTGTGACAGTCCGTTTAAAAATGATGTTGTTAGGATCTGCTCCAAACTAACGTCACAGATCTGGATTTGAACATGCCAAAGTTAAAGATGCAGTACTGAATAAACCTGTGTCTAGTGATGACTTGGCACAAACCATGTTTCAAACACCTCAAGCCCTCGCATGTTTAAGAGCAGATTTCTGAGGTGCCTACACTAACGAACCTGGGAATTCGGAGCTGCCAAACGTTCTCCTGCTGATCCTCAGTCCTGAAGAGTTGTGGAGTTCCCTGTGCTAGAGAACACGGTTTGCTGTGATGCTCCAAGTCAGGACTAGCCTGCAGCAGGGCTCGTGGGTAACATTGTAGTGATGCCTATCGACAGGTACTCGAGACTTTCAGGAACCACGAGGTAAACTGATCAGTATGAACTAGAACAGATATGATATTGATTTCTTTTTTCTCTCCACACAGAGACAATGGCCTTGGATGCCTGTGATGGCAGCTTTGGTTGCTGTAACAGCCGTGGTGCTGTACCCAGGCCTAACCAGAGCTTCTCCATGAGAACTGTTGTTGAATCCATACACCGTCCTCCCTTTAGAAGCTGGCAACATTCATATACTGAGGGAAAACAGATTAATTCTCTTCCTTTTTACCTCTTAATACAGCACAGCTCTGCGTGAGAACAGCAGTAGGGTCATTTGCTTTAAACTGTATAAAATGTATCTGTCTATAAAGAGGGAATAAAATTGTGATTCATCATACTGTGAGCAATATTTTTGCTTACAACTTCATGCAAGTTTTAAATTAGTATGTTGGGGTTCTGAATACTATAATGGTGGCCTAAAGTAGGCTTCTTGGTACCAAATTATTTATAATGGCTAGGGTTGTGGACACTGACTTTAGAATCTGATTGCCAGAAATAAGAGGAAAATACATTTCTGATTTGGACATCCAAGCCAAGTAACTTTGCAGATACTTGGGAAACAGATGCAGTGTGCTCAGTGCCTTTCAGTATGATCTATTTTTTTTTTTTTAACTAGTATATCATTTACTTGCTGTTAGTCACTGAGCTGTTGGGAACAAGACTTTAAGAAAACTTCTCTTAACCACGCCTTTCGAAGGAAGCATATTTTTCTTTGATAAGGATTGCTTTATTAATGGGTTTGGGGAATAAACACAATTCATGTCCAGCCTTAAAGAGATAGAGATATTGATGGTGAAGACCAGCCTAAAGTATTTAGTGTGCGCGAGTGCGAGTGTAGCATGTGTGTGTTCTTGAGTGAACTGAGGTGTTTCTGGGAGCAAGTACTTGGTCATTTGATGGACATAGTGCAGTGATTCAACTTACGTTAACTTTAGTTTGAATGTAATTTATTAAATTTCATATATTTAAAGAGATACGTTCTTTAAAAGTATGAATACCTTCTCACATATCACATGTATCAGTTTATTTTTTCAGTCATTTGATACTCTCTGACTTGAGCTGGAGAAGCTCTTTAGATAAGCTTTTGTTGACGTAACTTTATTAAGAGAACTGCTACAGTATGTCTGTGATTAGCTGAGAACATCTAAGATACATAAAATACTACGAAATTGGAATCATATGCCTGCTGAAGTATTGTCAGGTGAAGATGATTTTAATTTGGTAGTAAAATTTTGTGCATCCTCATCACATGGCTGTAAGTATGATGCAGTGGTCCCCATTACAAAGTTGATTTTCCTTATCTAAGTACTATAACTATTGCTATTTGCTGACTTTTGGTGGGAATCACTGTAGTTAGTGCTGAATTAAATGTAGACTGTAGTTGTCTTGTTCAGCTCAACAGTTCTGTCAAAAAAGTTTATTAAAGACTTAAATAATATGCTAAAGAATGGTAAAGTAAAAGGAAACTTCAAAATAGGGAGGTAATCTCAGCAATTCAATTGGCTTTAAAGGATGTTATGGCAATCGACAGATAGTTTAAATAATTAAATAGAAATTTAGCCTATAATTTACTTTGTGAGGTTTTAAGGGTCATTGTCCTTTAATTAAAGGTTCTATCTTAAATTACATGGGTTTTGCTAATGGGAGGATTATTAGTTGGAAAAAATAGTCCACAGGTGACTTGTAGAAAATAAATATTGTCATTTAGTTCATTCATTTCATCCTTTTCAGTTGCAGGAAGCCACCCAACCACAGAACACTCGTATGCCAGTGGTACTTAGTACCTCTTGTATATAGGTTATTGCAAATATTGTTCTGAAATGCTTAACTTCAGAATTACATTTTTTAAAGTAAATAATTGTTTTAAATCTATTTTGTAAAGATATAAAAATACAATAGAATTTCTGGAGTACAGATTAAACTATTTGCACTAACACACGTGATGTGCATGATTTAATAAAATAACTTTACTCTCCCTATGCATGTTTGAGTTGAATGTCATTTGAAAACAAGAGATTCATGCTAAGTTTCTTTTGCACTAGATACTGCCACAGTTATAGGCACAATGTCTGCAGCATGTCCAGTAGAAGCAAAAGACTTTTTTTTTTTTACTTTGTATTTCACATTTGCACTGGTTTTAAGTTTTTGTCTGGCTGATCCTTCTCCTGTTTGTGGTTTTCAGAAAGAAATGGGGTAGGAGAGACCCATGGAAGGCTTAGGAGCATCTTTCCATGGGGGAGGAAAAAAGTGTTCAGAGCTGAAGGGTGGCTGTGCCTGTGGCAGGGTGGTGAGATGGGAGGAGCAGTGGCTGCAGGTCCTGGGCAATAGAGGAAAAAAGCCCTGCTGGGGGAAGGGACCTGATGCTGCCTCCTCACGTATTCAGCATCTCAAACTCTCTGTTTGTCCCTCTTTCAGCTACTGTTTCTTTTTCAGTGGATTCTCTTCTCTGCTCCCTGCATGTAGACATGGTGTGAGGAGGTGGAGTGGAGCCTGGTGGAGCAGGGGTCCCTCCTGCCTGGCAGCAGGGAAGGTGCCAAGTTCCCTGGGAACAGCTGGGAGGGACCTGAACTGCAGCAATGCCGCCTAGGACACAAGTTTGTTCATGTATTGAAGACTAATGTTGAGTTTTCAGAAATCTTTAGAGCATCAGAGAGCTGCAGCTTGAGACCCAGCGTGGTTGTATTAAGGCAGAAATATTTCTAATCTCATTCTGTGCATGTGTGCATATTTATATACACATAGTACACATTGCATGGGGGTTTATGCTTACAAGTATACCTGTGGTTCCCTAATACAGTGCCTTTCCCAGGAGTTCTTGACAATTGCATGTTCAAAATGAGAATGTTCAAGATGAGGAATGAGCTAAAATGCACAGTTCACTCTTATGTTGTGAAAATCCCTGGAGAAGGGTTGGGTAACTGGGAAGCTGCTCTTCTTCAGTGCTTTGATACTAAAACAGCAAGTGGAGTTATTTTGCAAACACTCCTTGCACAATTCTTTCTGGTTTTTTCTTGCTTTTTTTTAAATGGTAAATATGTGTGTTCTTTTACCTTCAAATTTAGGTTCTTTCTTCTGTAAGGCTTGATTAGCTAAGCCCTGGAGTTACTGTAATGAGCAGCTTTTCACAGGTGTAAGATGCTCTACTTGTAAAACAAGTGCTCTGAGCTTGCACTGAAGTTTGAGGTTTTAAAAAGGTTCCTCATACTAGAAAAGTTAGAGAGTTGTTTTATCAGTTGCTAGTTCAGTTTGGAAGATTTACTATAATAGAATATCTGAACACTTCTTCAGGTTTGTCCTGGTGTCCTGACTGAGGCACCTTTTTTAAATTCTAAAAGAATTCTACCTACACAGGGACTATAATAGCAGGCCTTTTATTTAAAAATATACAGTATGTAAAAAAAATATAGTGTGGTTTTTCCTGTTCCTTGTAGCTGAATTAAACGTATTCTTCCAGAGTCTTAGCCTCATCCTTCTTGCAGAATCTCTGGATTTTTTGGTGCTAAATGGAGAATTGGGAGCCTGCACAGTATATTGCCAAGTGTTCTCATAAAACAGCGAGACTTAGTATCAAATGACTGATGGCTGAAGCAAAGGTAATCACCTGTGCATGTATTTTTGGGGTATATTCCTCAGTTATTTTTCTCAAGTATATTACCTGTTCCAGAATTTCAGTGTGCTTTACATAAGATTTTGAATGTCTCCTGCCTTAATCCATAGGGTTCTACCACTTGCAAGAATAATTTCTTCAGCTTGAATCTTCTCCATGACAAAACCACTGCCGAATTCATTCCACCAGCAGCATCTGAGTGCTTTAAAACACCAGGTCACCACAGCGGCTTTTAGGAAGCCACTGTCTTTTGCACTGGCTCTGCAACTGGGGCTGGCTGGGTTTCACCTCCCCTCAGGCTGTTCATCCACCATTAGTGTTTCATTAGCAACTGTCTCAAGACTTTGAGTCTCCATTTTTAATAGCAATGGATCATATAAAAGAATTACAAGCCATATTCTTTCCTTCTCTCTTGCGTATGCCTCTGTTTGAAGGGTGATTGCTTCTAGCAAACAGCTGCATCGAGTTCCCCAGATCCAGCTGATTTGCTTATCCCAGTCCCTCTTTGCACATGCTTATGGACACAGAATTCTTCTTTCTCCTCTGGTGGGGAATTGGGCTGCAGTAGGGGGTTTTTTGGCCTTCCTGGGATTTTAGTTTGTATCCATTTACTGAAAGTGAGCAGAGGTTTGCCCACAGAGCCAAGTTCTTCTGCTTGGAAGAGAGGGTTGCACCTACTACTGTTTTAAAAACTGGTTGCTACCAGTATCTGACTAAAGGCTCCCAGCAGGAGGAGGTGAATCAGCCATTGAAACCCAGGTGTCAGTGTTAAGGGCCATTAGAGGCTCAAGTTCCCATTTGGAAAGGTAAGGGAACCCATCACTTTTCTGGATGTTGCAATCATAAAACTTCACTGCTTTCAACATCAGCAGCAGAGTGTCAAGAAGTTAAGCATATGTTAGAAAAAAAGAATTCTTGCTTTAAGGACTTAAGAAAAAGGATCACTCTCCTCTGTAGGTAAGTTATGTGAGCAACTACTGTCCCCTCAAAAAACCCCTAAAACAAAACCCAACCTTGTGTTTGGGTTCATCTTGCTTTGTATCCTCAAAATTGGACCTCAGTATATCTCTGAGGATATTCTTTGGAGGATATTCTGCTGCAAATGTCCTCCTGATCTAGGGATTTGACATGCCATGATCATACCTTCCAATCTTACTTTATATGAATGGATTGAATTTCTTAATTTTTATTTCTTCATCCCTCTAGTTTTTGTTGTCAGCTTTTTAAACAATATGTAATTTTCTGAATGTTCTTTTTTTGAAGACTAGATACCAGAACAGAACTTGTCCTTACAGTAATTACCTTACTGACATCATATAAATAGACAATAAGCTTTATATCCTGTTCTGGTATTCCCTGTTGACTGTCTACCAGAGCTTATTTTGGGATTCACAGACTTCTAGCATCTGGATTTTCATCTTGTGAATCAAATCAGTGTATTTCTTGCAATATTGTTTGGTAAAAATCACTGTAGGCAGCATTCCAAGGCAGCAACGTGTTCCCATGACTGTTCAGCACTTGAGAGAGGTGTTTTTTTTCCTTCAGGTTTTTACAGGGATGATTACTGAAGCTCTTCTAGACTATTGATCATACACTGTTGAACAGTAGTGAGCCAAAACCAGGTCCCTGAAGCACAGTAGGGAAAACATTCATAGAATAATTCCTTCACTTAGTTTTTGCAGTCTGTCAACTGTTCTGTAATCTGCATTATTAGTTACAGTGATAGTAGTGTAGTGATCACTTTTATTGGAATGTCATGATTTACAGAAGCCTTGCTTTAACAACACCAATAAACTCATTTTTTTTAGTAAACTTAGAAAAGTGGAATTTTATTTTTAAAATGCTTCGACAGGCCTGAATTATTGTACATTCTTGAATTTCGTGCTGACTGCTTCCCATGGATTGCTCTGATTTGCTTAGATCTTAGGGTGGAGCAAAGCCAGTCCCTTTCCCAAGATCGGGTATTTTACTCTCTCCCCTCAGCCCTGTTGTGTTGTTTGCCCATTAGTGCCCTTTCCCTCTGCAAGGCAGCACAGATCCGAAACATTCCCTGAATTTGTCGGTGTGCCCGGCCTGGCTCGGCGTCATTCCCAGTGCTGGCTGTTGGCAGGTGTGACACTCCGAGGGATGTGCATGTGTGGACGTGGCTGTTCTGGGACTGCGCTTGCATGCGGCAAAACGGATCGTGATTGCCGGCGTTTGGCAGCCGTGGGAGTGGGGATGGGATTGGGATTCTGGGTGAAATAATTCTCAGCTGTCGGAGGGAGGTGTTGGTAGGGAGGTGGAATTCTTGCACTGTGTCAGGTGACACATTGAAAATGCAAATGTGCTTCCAAGCATGTCATCTCTTCATCGTACCTGATGAACAAATCCAAAGCCTGGGTTAAACTAAAAGTAACTTTTTATTACCTGATCGTATTAGTTCAGTAACTTCAGACTAAAGGTTGAAGAGGTCAATTCATTCTGTTCTGTTGGAATAAACTTAACCAAAACTTGCCCATATTTGTTTCAGTACCCTCTGTTGGGAAATGATGGTTTGGGTTTTTTTTTTGGAAACACCACACACACACTATGAGTGGTAAGGTACTGCCTTCAGTATGAAATGGGTTTACTATTTTAATCTTTTCATGCTAGGTCATTTATGAAGTTTATATTCTATTTATATTTCTTGTAAGGAGTTCTTGCTCTGGAAAATAATTTTATTGAGTATGTCATCAGTTTTGATGTGACAAAACTACTTCTTGTCTTGAATAATACAGTGGCTCTTACTTTAAAAATGTTCCAAATATGCAATATGTCTTTTTGGGATGAATAAATGGTAAAAAATATGAGAATAAATTTACAACACAACAGAAAGCTGATGTGTATTGTACATAGTCTTTCATTCAGCCTAACTCCAAATTTCAGCACTCCACAACTTCTGAACTCTGCTTTATTGCGGTAGAAGACAAGTTACTAATTAATGAACCAATTAAAACTTATTTTAAAATTGGAATCTATTTATCTGCTTATTTTGTACGAAGGGGATTTGCAGCCACATGACCTTCCCTGCTCTGTGTGACGTGGTAAAGCCGGGCTGGGACAGGTCTGGGTGTGAACCCAGGGAGAGGAGGGCTGGATCAGGGGGCAGGAGTTCAGCCTTGGTTTGTGCAAGAGTTAAGTGGGGTTTAGTGACCAGACACCCTCAGGGTATCATTCACGGATCATCCTTTAAGAAAACCAACAATTCTACGGTCTTTTATCTGTACTGTAAACCAGATGGAATTCTGGGGCTCTGTGTCAGTGCTGACTCAGAAGGACATTTACTGAGTCACTTACATAGTTTTCAGCGAGTTTGAGGAAGGGAAGTCTCCTCCCTGTTTGCTCTGTGGTTTGGATCCACCTCAGGGTGCAGTTTAAGTGCACATGGTTGCACTCCAGACTGTGGTAAGTCCTGCTGTAAGACCCTACGTGACTTGTCTCTGCTATTTCTCTCTTTAAAAGTTTAAGTCGGAGTTAACATGAAAACATTCTCCCAGACGCAGTAGATGTTTGGGAGTTTTGAAGGGGGGAGAAAACAGCCTAAAAAAATGTTAAATACGTGTGCTGCTCTTCATGGGGTGCTGTTGGTAACACCTTACATGTGTCAGTAACTTTGTCTTGACTTCTGGTCTTCCAAATAGCAGTGCAAAGCGCTCTGCCTTAGACACTGAGTGAGTTTTATCTGAGTAGCCTAAAGGTGAAAAAGGCTGATAAGGTTTGTGCCTTCATAAAGGTTCAGTATGAGGATTACAGGCTCATTAGGTGTGATACTCGAGGTGGTGTTTTTGTTGTATGTGTAGCAGCCACAGCTGAGTGGCAGCTTTTCTGTTGCAGAACCTGACTGTAATCCAGCTGTAGCTGGGCATTGTGAGACACATTTATTGCGCTTTTCTTTCCACTTTGTAATTATTGCAGTGGCACATAACTGAAGATGTAGCCTGCAGCAACTTCAGTCATTTTTAATTGCACTTATACCCTCGGGCTAGCCAGGTGTTGGTGTGTCTGTGCTACATGTTGCAGCAATAGTATGCCCTTCCCCTGCAGACTTCTCTGTAATTCTTCCTTAGTTTTCAGTCCTTTGAGATTTAAAGGACTCTCACCATTTGTTTAATCAGTAAATTTAAGGTTGCTGCCATGGTGCACCTGCAGGGTAGTAAGTACCATGTTTATATATTCCCTAATTGTGTCCCAGCCAATAATAAATTATTAACAGTCTCCCTTATTATTACTTCACATGAAGACTGCTTTTGCAGTGAGTGAGGGTGTTCCTTAGCACATCCACACCCCTGTTCAGGAGGAGACTTAGTAGATAAACAGCAGAAAAATCTTTAATGACTTACATGGTGTTTCTCATTTCAAATCTAGAGAGAGTGGTAAAAAATTATTTGCCCCAAGCTAATGTTTCTCCTGGTAATTAAAAAACAAATACTGGAATAATGCCATCAGAATGAGCACTTCTGGGATGTTTCTTTGGTGAGAACTGAATTGCTTTATCAGATGTGTAGGATGTTGCATCTGCATGGAATGTGGGTCTGCAGGATGTCCCTGCTACTGAATGTCTGTCCTTAGATGGGCAGGGAAATGTATCAGGGAAGCCTTTGATGTAAAGTTTATCAAGATGGAAGATGAGACCTCTGCACTGGCAGAGATCATTCTCAGCTCAGGTACCTCAGTTCTGCTCCTGTGCACGTGGACTCATGTAACAGTGGTGTGTTCATTCGGTTCATTTAATGTGAATTGTTTCCAGTTCCCATAAAATACATTTCACTGGAGATTATTAAAACATGGTAAGTTTTTTTTTTATTCTAAAATAAAGAACAGTAATTGGGTATTCAGTAATATCCTGCAGCTGTGTGGGTTAACATTTTAATTTCTTGGACTGTAAGTAGGGCCTCGCTGAGATTCTGCTGGCTCAGATACTTCATCAGGAAACTGCTGTATTATTCTTTAGATTTTGAGCACATATTGGAGTCCTTTGGTCCTTCTGGTTGTGAAGATAGTCTGAAAATACAGAGTTGTAACTGTGTGATATGAAGATTGCTTCCTGCAGCCTCTGAAGAGCAAGCTGGGGAAGCAGTCTGTTAATAGGTGTCTGTGATCCAGGTGTGAGCAGACATCTCCAATTGAGGAGAAAGAGGATGATGACTCAGGGCAGAGTCACATCCTGTTAATGCTGGTTAGGGACACCACCACCTCACTCTTCCTGCTTCTGATGAATGGGAGCTGAAAAGCCATAAAAAAAAAAATAAATCCTTGAAATGTGAGAAAGGGAAAGCCAGTCCTTCAGAAGTCTGTGGCTGTCCAAATGTAGGTGTAGCTTACCTGTTCAAAAGCAGCTCAAGCTCAGCACTGCAGGTGCTGGAGTCAAGTGGACCTCTTTCCTCTGCTGGTGGCTGTTGCTGCCCCGTTGTTGAGAGGCCGCTGGCTGCAGACCCAGGCACACACATACAATGGCCTTGCTTCCCTCCAGCTGAGACTCCTGTGGTTTTCTCTGCAGTCCTAGGCTGAGATATTTGCTGTGATGCGGATTCTGGTGCGTTTGGAGAAGTGGGTTCTAGGGTTGATTTCATTAAATGTGGTTATACCTGCTCCAGTGTCCGGAGTGGGAATGCTGAGCCCGGTAGCTGGCAGTACCCACTGTGAACAGGGAGGCTGTGAACACCCGTCAGTGAAAAGCAGCCTCTGGCTCTTGCATCTCAGTGTACTGTGGCCTGCCTTCTTTGCTTTCAGCTGGAGTTCAGCATTTATGCTAATGGGTGGGGTTAGATTGGATATTGGGAAGAAATTCTTCACTGTGAAGGTACTGGCACAGGTTGCCCAGGGAAGCTGTGGCTGCCCCATCCCTGGAAGTGTTCGAGGCCAGCCTGGATGGGGGCTTTGAGCAACCTGGTCTAATGGAAGGTGTCCCTGCCCATGGCAGGAGGGTTGAAATGAGATGATCTTTAAGGTCCCATCCAACCCAAACTGTTCAATGATTCTGTGATCAAGTGTATTTATGCAACTTCTGTTTTACCAGCACACATTCAGTGAGTGAAGCTGTGTTCCTGTGGCTTCTGGAGTCAGGTGAACACTGTAGCAGAAACAAGCGAGTGTAGCAGAGCTTTGCATGAAACTCCACTTATCTCTACATTCTGCTATAGCAGGATGAAGCTTTGTGCTTCTGAATACAGTTTTAATGGCATAGAGGTTCAGATAAAGCTATTTCAAGCTTTTAAAGTCCAGTGTGTTAGAAGGATAAAGTTGGAGTTGAGATGTGGCGTGTGCTGTGTGCACAGATCTCTGCTGAGGCATCTTAGTTTGCAAAAGAGTGTTCAAAAACCTTCCCCAAATATATTAGCTGCCTCCCAATAACTTTTAAATTGGCATTTAAGCCAGAAAGGGTTTTTTCGTTTGTTTCTATGCTGCATTGCTTAATGCATGCAAAAGTTACTCTTTTAAGCAAGGAGCTTTTACTAACAGCTTGAGATGTCAAATCACAAATTTCAAATACATTTCAAAACATATTTTGTGATGCAAAATACTTCCCCTACAGCCTTCAGGAGGAATTCCTTGCTGGTAGTTGCTGCTTCTGTTTTTCCTCAAATATGTTTCTGCTGTTTTTGCTGAAGTAAATTACTTGTCATCTTCAGTACATAAAAGCCCTTGTAGCTGCACTGGCTCTAAGTGTGTTGCTCCAGCAGCCCCGTGCTGCACGTTTGTTTGGTTTGGTTTCATGGACAGTAAGCTGGTGGCCTGGGAAGCATGGCCTGGCCTGTGTCACTGTGAGGGGTGGTAGGAGCCTGCAGGAGGAAGTTCCAGGTGTCTTGAGAGGAAGGAAATGAGGGGAAAACAGCATGTTTTGGGGAAAGTTCCCACACAATGCAAAGGAGAAGAACGGGGCGGGGGGGGGGCATCAGAAAGGGAAGGGCAAAGTAGGTTTGGGAAGGATGGGGGTGTTCCTGGGTTTTACCTCAGAGGAGAAAAGTACTTTTCCTGCCTTGAGGGATCATCCCCATCCTCTGTTCCTGTCTGCTGCCTGCCTCCCTGAGCCAGCGTGGTGGTGGAGAGTCCCCAGCTCCTGAGCTGCCCTGCCTGACCTGGAGTGCAGCGAGATGGAAGGTGCTGTTTAATGTTTAACACATTGTGCAAGGGAAGGGCCTCAGAGACAGTATCTGCCTTCCTTCCCTATGCCTGAACCTCATGGGAAGCCTGCTCCATTCTTATCCCCTTCCTGGCATTGACCTGTGGGTCTGCTGTGACCAGAGGCTTCCTTTCACCTTTGTGGGGCCAGCATTTTCCACTGCCACATGAGAGCCAGGTCCATGGACTTCCCTATCCCTGAGTGCAGAAGATTTCTCCTGCTTTTCACAAAGGGGAGGTGACTTGGAGCTGTGCTTGCAGCCTTGGGCAGGTGAACAGTAAAGTAGCTGCCAGTCATGTCCAGAGAGTTTTAACTGGAGACACCCTTCTGGTCACTGAGGTCTCCAGGAAGCAAAGTCTTTGGTCCTGGCAGTCATGGCTGCAGGAAACGTTGTGGGATGAGGTTTGGTGGAGATCACCTTGCAGAATGCAGCTGCATGTGCTGCTGTGAAGGCACAGTGCCCCTGCAGGGTGGGCACAGCCCGTGCTGACAGCAGCCCTGCTCGTCCCGGGGCCAGGACTTGTTGTAGGGCACAGTGGAGGGTGGAGCTGTCCCTGACTGCACCAGGAGAAGGTAAGATCTGGGGACCTTTCCTGCTGTAGCAGGAATGACGTTGGTGCCAGCACGTCCTGCGGGGTCTGAGTATTGCCTTGGCTAAACTGTGTCTTACGAGTGAGATGCCTTTGGTGCATCTGTCGCCTCATTCATTGCCTCATCTGT